TTATTATTATTATTATCATTATTATTATTTACTATTATTATTATGATTAATATTTAGGAAGTCCCTAGTATACATGATTGTGGATACCTTAAATACTCAGCTAGAATCAAGAAATAATATAAACATTCCTGCCTACATCAGGTATAGATAGATAGATAGATAGATAGATAGATGTATTTTGGATTAATATTTATAAAGGAACATAATCGCCAGGGTCCTTCTAACCAACGCTGGTTGTTTTGAATTAGAAACTGTTTTGATAGCAGATATACATAATTAATTCACTTAACGAAACAGAAACAAATTCTGATGTTAAAAATAAAATAAAAAGAGAGGGTGGCAAAACAATAAGAGACGGAGTATAAAAAATAGATTTTCAAGGATAAGGGATGTGGAACTAAGCAAAAAAAGTTTTAAAAAAGATTTTAATAACAGAAAACCAGAAAAAAACTATTTTTTCTAACTTTTGAACAAAATTATGACACTACTGAATCCCGGATATTTACATTGCAACCCTGAAACCAGGGTCGTAATGTTAGATTGCAACCCTAGGGATGCAATCTAAATAATTGCGAATTTTTCTGCCAAGAAGTTGCGGGTTTTCATTTCTTAACATATTTTGTAAAGGATTGGAAAAATCTCCATAAAATTTGTTTAAAAGTTGAAAAAATTACACATCTCTTAATTCACGTGATGCAACAAGGATGCAATAAACATTGTTGGACCCAACCAAAGCATCCCTCGCTACGCTCGTGATGCTTATAATGACCCAATCAAGGTCTTGTAAAGTCTCGGCAATGTAATATTTCCACCATATGTTTATCGCATCCTTTGCCTCTCTGTAATGCAGAGATAAATAGTTATTATTTAAGCATCAAAAACATATATACATGTTACATATTTGCAAGCATATTTGCTATCTTTAACTGGATCTAATTCTGTACTGTCTAATGTCTATGTATCTGGAAACTGTACATGGATCTAATTATGTACTGCCTATGTATCTTGGATCTAATTCTGTACTGTCTAATGTCTTTGTATCTGGAAACTGTACATGGATCTAATTATGTACTGCCTATGTATCTGGGAAACAGTACACGGATCTAATTATGTGCTGCCTAAGTATCTGCAGAGTTGTACATTATTCTAATTATGTACTGTCTATGTATCTGGGAAAATGTACACGGATCTAATTATGTACTGCCTATGTTTTTCGGAAACTGTACACGAATCTTATTATGTACTGCTTAGGTAACTGGTAAACTGTACAGTGTACACGGATCTAATTATGTACTGCCTAGGATTTTGGTAAACTGTACAGTGTACACGGATCTAATTATGTACTGCCTAGGTATCTGGTAAACTGTACAGAGTACACGGATCTAATTATGTACTGCCTAGGTTTTTGGTAAACTGTACAGAGTACACGGATCTAATTATGTACCGCCTAGGTTTCTGGTAAACTGTACAGAGTACACGGATCTAAATATGTACTGCCTAGATATCTGGTAAACTGTACAGAGTACACGGATCTAATTATGTACTGCCTAGGTATCTGGTAAACTGTACAGTGTACACGGATCTAATTATGTACTGCCTAGGTATCTGGTATACTGTACAGAGTACACGGATCTAATTATGTACTGCCTAAATATCTGGTAAACTGTACAGAGTACACGGATCTAATTATGTACTGCCTAGGTATCTGGTAAACTGTACAGAGTACACGGATCTAATTATGTACTGCCTAGATATCTGGTAAACTGTACAGAGCACACGGATCTAATTATGCACGCAGCACCGCCTAGGTTTCTGGTAAACTGTACAGTGTACACGGATCTAATTATGTACTGCCTAGATATCTGGTAAACTGTACAGAGTACACGGATCTAATTATGTACTGCCTAGGTTTTTGGTAAACTGTACAGTGTACACGGATCTAATTATGTACTGCCTAGATATCTGGTAAACTGTACAGAGCACACGGATCTAATTATGCACGCAGCACCGCCTAGGTTTCTGGTAAACTGTACAGTGTACACGAATCTAATTATGTACTGCCTAGGTATCTGGGAAGCTGTACACGGATTGACGAGTTGACCTTTAGAGAGTTTATCCTCGTGTATGACGTCATGTGTTTGGCTGTTCAATCTAAGGCAAGCAAAACTATTGAGTAGAGGTCAAAACTTTTGAAGCATTCATTTTGTTTAAAACGTGCTCTGTTTGCCGGGTTCTTTTTCCTCCGGGGATTAATTTAAGTCTTTGGTAGAGTTTTTCTAATCTTTATTATAGTAGTACCTCAAATCATAAATTTACGCTGTGGATATCGATTTCAGTCAAAAATGCTCAGAGCATCCCAACCAAACGCCAGCTCGATATTCTGTCAGTATTAAAACAATTCCGACTAATGATGATGTTAATTATATTTAGGGCAGTAATATATCTACTAAACTGATAACACAAGTCTTGGAGGAACCTTTTATGGAGAAACAATTCAGGAATCCTTAACTCTCTTTAATATTTTCATATTTTAAATTTTATTATTAAGTAGGCTGTTTTAATTGGTTCACCCTTAACTAAACTTTCGGTGTGTATTGCAGAAATCTGAAGCACCCGGGTCGAATAAATTGTGGGTTTTAGTTGGAAGTGGGTTGACCCATGATTAGTAAATGAAAATTGTAACTAAACTAAATCAAATTTTGTTAGAGGCAAATTTTTTGTGGGTCACACGAGGTTCCACAAAAAATGTGGGCCCAATCGGTTCAGCCGTTTTGACGTTTATTGGATAAAAACAAACAGACAGACAGACAAGCAAAGTAAATAGAAGAAGGGAATACAAATATCTAATTTGATATTTATCAAGATTCTTTTTAGATCTTGAGTTGGTTCTCCAAAAATTATAATAATAATACTTATACACAAATATCTTCATAATGAGTTGTTCAAAATGTGATCCGACTATTTTTACAACTCGAACAGAAAAGGGTCTGATTTTTTGCATCAAACTTTTATATTACAATCAGTATTACTTTGCAACCTGCTGTAAAAGGCATTTAGCATTTTAAACTATAACATCTGCAAGTTTGAAAATAGGGATTTAGTAAAGTTTGATGCCATTGATCATTTTCTTTCTCCTCATCTTTAATTATCAGCTCCTTAGATTTTTTCCATTTTTTGAATGCTTCACGTCAAACTAAAGTAAAATGCACATTAGATTGTAATTTAATATGTTTTTATCATAACTTCATTAATTAAAGAACTATTGAGAAGATCAAAAATTTGATTTGATTTCATAATATATATAACCAAATAAACTGTCTTTTCTTCACATGTGTATAAAATAAGAACTAGAAGAGCAACGGAGTCACAAAATTGTAACAGTATTGACATTTGAATTGACCTTCTCCTCCTAGTTAGTTTACTGTGGCTCATAGTTTTTGTTGTTGTAAAATATCAATAATCGGAAAGATATTTTCAAGTCGTCTCCTATACCCTGTTTTCACCATACCATGTTGTACAATTATTGTTATTTATCCCCCCCCCCCCCTCCCCACCTGAATGTTTTCTCTTGTTTATTCATACAGAGTGTCTCTATAAAAAAGTTTATTTCAGCTGTTTCCCCTCCGGCTACTACAGATCTTTTTTACCAAGAATTTTTTCTGTAAAGGAAAATATAAGATTAATTGAACAATCTGCATGTTTTGTAAAAGCAAATTAACTAAATTGCGCATTTAAGTGAGAGAATTTAGAATTTAGAATAGGTAAAATAAAAGAATTTGAGATTTTTAAAAATCTTTGGAAAATACACCGATTTTCGAATATTAGGTTAAAACTGAATTTTAAAGCAACATGTTTTATCGACGACCTATCCATGGACATTGTACCTTCAAGAAACACTTTCAGTACAAACAACGTAAACATACTTTTTTCAGAGACACCCTGTTTTATGCTGGGCTCTGTGTTTACTTAGCAATTACAATGAATGTTTGAAGAATGCGAGGAAAATAATACTTCTATCCTTGTTTAAACATGTTTAGAAGTGTAAACCAGGATTTTATATTGTTATTTTATTACGTACATCAGAGTGTGAAACAATACTTCAGAGACGACTGTATACATTCTTTAAAGGAATTGAGTCTTTGCCACAAACTAAAATTTTCCTATCGTTTTAACTTTGCAACCCAATGTCGTAGACCTTAGATATTTCAAACTATGAATTCTGGTAGATCAAATAATTTGAGTTTGAAATATCAAAGTTTTACACTATCCAGTTGCAGAGATTTTGGGTTTAACAAATCTGAGTTTGTGTCAAAAACTCATTTCCTTTGTTATTATTATTTATATTTCATAAGAATTTAGTTAAAAGTTTCAAGTGCAATCATAAAAGTGTCCTGTTTTTGGGGCCACCTTGTACTTGTCTGTATTTTATAACTAAACCTGGGTTAAGTTTTAAACATCGTTTAAACTTTTATTCCACCATTTTGCTTGTAATACAAAATATGCTTGAAAACTTGGTTACTTTATTAATATCCGGAGAGTAAGAATATAGAGAATATAATTGGTACTGGCTCGACCGTGCCCGTAGTACAGGGTTACAAAACAAAAAATATACTTTAGGGAATGTACAGCATACTGTGATTTTGCCAGCCTGCATTTGTTGCAAAAATCAGGCTGGGTCGACTCTACACTATGTAGCCAGACTGGATTGTACGACGCCCCCTCTAAATCCCATGTTTATGTCTAAATATGACAAATGATAATAATTGGAAAGCTCTAATGCTCTGGAAAGCTTAAATGCTCTACTTTAAGAATCCGCAAAAAAATACAGTTATATAGTAAAAATTGCAGTAAAAAATGTCCAAAATATGATAAAATATACATTTTTGAAAAGCCCTTGACCAATGACCATGCCATTTCAAATATGCAAAATAAATTACAAAATTTTAAATAACCTGATGTGTAATTAAGAAAAACTAAAAATGTTAACATTTCATTTGACAGGTTGTATGCAACAAATTTGCAAATATTTCTTTGCAAATATTTCTTTGTGAAATGTGTTTCCTTATGTTATAGGCTTTCCAAAAAGCTAAACATTCTCAAAATCTGACAACTGAAAATGGTTTAAAACAATTATTTTGTTTAAGTTACTACATCCTCAGACCTATACTTTTTGTGTTATGAAAAAAAATTAAAGGGGGGCGGTCAAATTAACCCCTCACCCAGCAGGAATAGGGTTAAAGGACTAGAAATTCTTCTAGTACAACCTCTCACATTAGGCTCACTAGAAGGAGATTTATTTGTTGTACTGAACCGTTTTCCTGTCTTAATAGGCTGTATCTATACTGTACAACTTGCTCTAGCTGGCTGAAAGTCAGTGTGGTACTTGACATGAACCGTAGGATTAGTGCCTTTATATTGCTATGTTTAAAAAGTGTTAAGTCTTCATTACAGTCTCATCCTTCGTAGGTAACATGCAGTACCAATTGTGGTGTGTAAACACAAGCACAGAACACTATTGGGTACATTAACACAGACACGGTTTTGTATTTACAAACAGACATTGCATTAAAATGTAATTGCCTGTTAAACACATGAGAGTTATGGTTGTACTGTACAGTGTATGTACTGAAGTACCCGGTATTGTACTACAGTACACGGCAGCACTATCTCCTGTACACCAAGACCGCAACAACAGCCTGGACTATGTGTGCGTGGACTGGAGTAGGGTGGTCCTGGACCCTGTGGTTGAGGGTGTGGACTATATAAACGCCTCCTGGACTCCTGGGTACTCGGGTCCAACAGATTTTATTATATCCCAGCACCCAGTACCCAATACACTACATCAGTTCTGGAGTATGGTTTGGCAGACAGGAACCAAGATTATTGTTTGTTTATCAGTTATTCCTCATCAATTCTGGCCGGTCATGCAAGTACCTCTCATTCTTCCAGGTACATTTCAATTCTTAAAGGGACTGTAAGCTTAATATCAAGTGACCCTCTTTGACAAGATGGCAATGCCCGATTTGTAACGATTTTCAATGATATGCACATTTCTACACTTAAACGAAAGTAAAATTTATCTTAAATTAAACTACAGCATAATTTATAACATGTTGTTTTAAATACTTATTTATATAATTTTTATACCTAACCTAAGTTTAACTCTCTCAATGTAGTTGTAAAATAAAAAAGCGCGAGTAGAGTTGCATGATTAGGAATTGTTTCTTTTTAAGGTATTAGCCCGGTTTTGCCCATGGAATTTTATAACCATACTGGGTGAAGGAAGGCGAGGTATGAAGTATTTGAGCCAAAAACTTTTCTTTTTCGAAAGGGCTCGAGACTTTTTTGATGAGAAAAACCAGAGCGTAGCGAAAAAGAAAGTGGAGAACCCTCGAGAAAAAGAAATGTTTTTAGCGAAAATACTTTACGACCCCTTCCTTCAACTAGTAGGGTTTCAGATAAAGTTTTGCCCTGGAAAGAAAGAAGTATGAATTCAGATAATGTTAACACTATCAAAATAAATAAATACACAAACATGGCGCGTCAATTATATAACATTTAATATAAAGTTTAAACTTTTAAAAAGTACATATTAAAGAAAATCTCAAATATTAATGCTGGAAGATGATCATTCAAAAGAATGCGGTAACTTCATAGCAAAAAATCGCAAATATTGAAAGATGTACTCAACTCTTCTTGGAATATATGGGTTTCAGGATATGTTCACCATAGCTTAAAAAGAGGCCACCCAGGGCATAAAATTACTAGCCATGAAGTGCTAAGTGTTGCCCATGGAATTTGAAATTACTAGCCATGAAGTGCCAGGTATTGCTCATGGAAATTTAAATTAACCGCCATGAAGTGTGATGCACATGGAATTTTAAATCAACAGCCATGAAGTGCCAGGTGTTGCCCATGGAATTTCTAATTACTAGCCATGAATTGCCCGGTGTTGCCCATAGAATTTTAAATTACAAGCCATGAAGTGCCAGGTTTTGCTCTTGGAATTTTAGGAGCACTTTGAAATAAGAAAAAATCACTTTATATGTTTAGGACTTCGAGTGTGGTTGGATAGTGAGGGAAGTCTAGGGGGGTACCGGTCAACCCAGCTTGTACTGCAGTGCGGTGACGTCACTACCTCTGTACAGCTGATCTCGTGTCCTAACTGGCCGCATCAGAGTGTTCCTGTCTCTAACTGTGTACACCTAGTGGATTGTGTAAACAAACAGCTGACTTCAGGTAGGTTTAGGCCTTAGGGTTGGCAATTGTTTTTTAAAACAATGGCAGTTTTGGAAAGGAACTGAATCCTTGCCACAAACTCTGACTTAAACTCCCTATATCTTTTCAACGCTAGACCGAATTTACTGAACTACTTCCTGCCGGTTCAAATATGGAATCACTGATTCAAATTTAAAGAATTTTAATCAGTGATATAAGATATAAACCAGCAGTATGTAGTTATTTGACCTCTCCAATTAATTAAATTTTCTCATGTCGTAGACCTGATTTTTTTACTATGAAATATGTTAGCTCAAATTGTCATATTTTAAAAGTTAACAGATTTTAAAAATGAATCTTCAAAAATTATTTGATATAATATGTGCACGATAAAAAAAAGAGCTAATTACAACTTACAAGCCTGCACTATTAAAAATGTTTATAATTTGTGGATTAAACTTTTTTGCACATAATGTTTCAACATTATTTATTTAACTAGACAAGTTCAACTTTAAAGATTTCATTCAGGAAAAAAAGTATAAAATTTGGTTAAATATGAGTTTTTAAAGGCGAATCAGCAGTTTCAAATACAAAACATGCATTTGTTCTATTGCATTGTGTAAATTTTAAAAATCTATTCAGTTAAAATTGTGCTATTTTTCAAAATTCAAATATATTGTAGTAAAAACTGTACATGACAAAAAAATTAATGGTGGCATAGGCTTACGGCGAAAAATAACCGCTTTTGATCGCCACTAATCTTACTTCTATATGTTGCGTCTTTAAGGAGAAAATTGCTAAAAACGACTCATGCTGAAAAACCTAGCGTCCATACAAATTCAGAAAATTGCAATATACGAATCGTATCGTAAAAAAAATCAATTTAATTCCAAACAAATCATTTAGATATTAAAACCTAAAGACATCGATTATTTTTCGACACATTCGTATATATAGTTAATAATTCATAATTTGTGTTATTTGTTTTTTATACAATGCACAATTAAAACGATTTTTTCCCGCTAGGTGTCTCTGCCACGTATAATCATTCAAAACATTGAGAGGAGAGACATCTGGCCGCCAACTTTTTCGACATTTTAAGTGCATTGGATACAAATAAAAAATATTATGAAATATTAACTATATAGGAATGCGTCGAAAAATAATTGATGAGTATAAGTTGTAATATCTGAATGATTTGTTAGAAATTAAATTGATGTTTTACGATCCGAGTCGTATTTTGCAACTTTCTGTCTGATCTTTATGGAAGCTACGTTCATTATAAGTCGTTTTTAACAATTTTATCCTTATAGATGCAACAGATAAAAGTAAGATTAGTAGCGATCAAAAGCGATTATTTTTCGCCGTAAGCCTATACACTCTTACATTTTTCGCGAACACTCCCTTTAATTTAATCCATTTGTAAAAATACTTATACCCCCCCCCCATACTGCGGTTAAGCGTTCTTTTGCAAAGTTTTGAATAATATTTATTAATGAGGGTATTTACATTCACCATAAATAGATAAATATTTCAGAAAGATGCAAGGCATATGCTTAATATATTAAGCCATTTTTATAAACTTTGGAAAACTCTAGGGGAATGTTAAAAGAATAGAGAAACCCCGTCTAGTGTTTACAATAAAACGGATGTTTACATGACAAAACTCGGGAAAAGGCTCCAAAAAAATGACGTACGTGATTCAATTATATGCAATTCTAAGATTGAATTCTTTTAAAGAATTTAGGCTGTTTAAATTACATTTATAATTTCTACACCAAAACCAAACTCCAAATTTTGTCTTTACACAGAAAAAGAAACACATGGAAATTTCATTCAAAGAACTTAATTGTTATATTTTTCAGGACCTGTTCTTGTAGTAGACAGCTATGGAGCTACGGAGGCGGCCATCTTTGTAACCCTTTCCAGTCTAGTGAGGCAGATGGATACAGAGTCAGCTGTTGACTTATTTTACTGGTTCAAGGACAGGATTAGCAGTTCAAACTAAATAATTTTCCCGCAAAGGAATTGAGTCTTTGCCACAACCTCTAATTTTCTAATCCCAATATCAATTGCAACCCAATGTCGTAGACGACCTTTAATATTTCAAACCATAAATTCTGTTAGATTAAATAATCTAACTTTGACATATGAAAGGTTTTCATCATCAGGTTGCAAAGATATAGGGATTCGAAAATTCGATTTTGTGGCAAATACTCAATTTCTTTTTATCTTAAGCATTAAATAAGCCTTTAGCAAGATAGAATTTAAATGTTTATGCAAAATTATTATGAAAAGATTGTATTTCAGTTACAGTAACGTACAGGAAATTGAATAGAAACTACATTTTATTCTCAACAAATGTAATTACAAATACAAAACTGTATCAAAAGAAACTCTAACACCTCCAGCTAAATAATAAATCGTTCATAAATTTAAGAAAATTGAAACTTTGAATTTTCTTCATATTATAAAAGACTTTTCTTATTGATTGAAAAATCCGCAAGAAAATAAAAAAATGACCATTAATCAAATTTAAGTTTTTATGTCATTTCATAGTTTTGAATGGGTTTCAAGGCTCTTCATATTTAAACCCTGAGGTAAAAGTTAATTAATTTTGTTCAATTTGAACCTGAATCCACCTATGGATTAAGCTGATGGTAAAAGTTACTCAATCTTGTGCATATTGACCCACCGTTTTAGATATAAAGGGATCAGGATCTCTAAAAAACGTTTTTAACCAACGAGAACGCTACAACTGCTGAGAATAATTCATAAAATTCCATATCTGGGTTAAGTGATGTATTGCCAACTTTGAATGTAAATTTGTTTAAACTGTTACTTGATTCAGGCAGTGCATCTGAGTAGACCTGGAGTCTGGATCTCACCAGACAATCTATTCTTCCTCTATAGAGTACTAGCAGAGCTATGCAGTATCAATCCAGGCAGAAAATAGGACAGGAAGTGAATCCTACAACAAGGCAGGAAATAGGACAGGAAGTGAATCCTACAACAAGACAGGAAATAGGACAGGAAGTGAATCCTACAACAAGGCAGGAAATAGCACAGGAAGTGAATCCAACAACATAATGAAGAAATAAGACAGGAAGTGAATCTTACAAAAAAGGCAGAAAATAAAACAGGAATTAAATTCATCATCAAAATATAACATGAAGAGGATCCAACTTCAAGACAGGAAATATGACAGGAAGTAAATCCTTCTACATGGTAGGAAATCCAACCACAAAAAGAATGAAGTGAAAAAAAGAAAAACATTTGAAAAATAACAGAGGCAATCATTTGAATTAAATCTTGACAATAAATTAGTTATAAAACCCTTTTTTTACACCATTCTTAAGCTCTTGTCGACTTTTTAATATTTATTTCTAGATGAAGAAATCTATATTCATGTCTGCTATTCTCTTGTCGACTTTTTAATATTTATTTCTAGATGAAGAAATCAAAGATATCTTTTAAAAGAACATAGTTTTTCATGGCTTCTCAAATTTCTGAACCATGCATTCCTTTCAGAAAAAAGCATCAATAGAAACTAACTTTAACCCTAAAAAGGTAAAGGGGGAAGAGGGGGGGGGGGGTAAATGAAGCATGCTTTTAAAATATATTTTTGACTACTTCAACTGGAATAGGTTTTTTTAATCCTCAACCTGTTTACCCTTTGTTCGTATAACAAATCAGGAAATAATCCACTAAATCGCTTTAGTTGAGAGGCGAGTGCTTCAAAAAGAGAAAAAATTAAATGGAAGGGTTTCTAAAAGCTTGAGGCCTAAGCCAGTTTAGTGTTAAGCTGATTTCAGAATTCTTAGAGTGCATTTATTTGGTTTTTTTATTAGATTTCAATGGAAATAAGATTAAGCACACAAATACAGATTAAAAAAAATCTATAATTTGTTTAAAACCATCTCTCCCCCCCCCCTGTCCCATTTAAGTTATAATCTTGTAGGTGTACTTTTTTGCACTACACTGCACCATCAATTGTACAAAGTTATGTACTGTCTAAGTTTATATTGTCATTTTCTTGTACATAAATATCTAAAATTGTTTTAAAAAATCACAAAAAAAAGACTTTTTTGAAGTTTAGAATTTTGATAAATGTAATAAATATTTTTACCAATTCAGAAAAAAATGTAATTTCTAAAAACAAAAGATATTTCTACAAACATTTTACAATCTTTGTAAATTTTATCTTAAACAAAATAGATTCTAGTACAATAGATGGCAACGTAGAATTTGTACACTCTCAGTACAGTTGTATTCTGACGTCACAAGTGTCAATTCAGTTTTTGTGTCAGACAAAATTATCAATAATAGTGGTAATTTTAGAATACAGTGCTTATCTTAAAGTAAAATAAGTGCAATTTTATGTGCTCTTTAGTTTCTGTGAGAAAATTTCGTTTTCCTTGTTATATATGACACTTGTGACGTTTTGTATAATTGGTCCATTTCTCTGTTGCCACCTATTGTACTTGTCTTTAACTATTATCTATTGTATTTACAATTACAAATACCGGTAACATTTGTGTAACTATTTCATAATGTGATTTCATTAAAAAATAAAAATAAAGTTCTGAAGTTCTGGTTGAAAAAAAAATGTGAAAATGTTGAGAAATATGTTCTAGAGAAAATAAAGATATTACAACAATAGAAAATGTTTTATCAGCGAAAAATTGAATTCATTTAGACATTTATCTTTCTGCAGTATTTTCTTATTTTTTATATTTGTAAGTTGAACAAGCATAATTGTGTATCTTGTTCTAATTTTTGAAATCAGGGATGAGTTTATGCGAAGGAGATGACCTTTGTAAGAAAGATGGACAACGCCAGACTTTCCAGACAGTACTCCAAACTGAAGTTTGCAGATCTATCTCTTGGACAGCTTCGGAAGAACCAAGAAAATCAGTCTCATGTCCATGTATACTTATTTTCTGTTTAATTAAGTAAGAATAAGTAAATTTTTTTAGATGATACTTTAATAAATCTAAGTATTTTGAGTTTTCGAGTTTGGGGAAGGAATTCAAAAAAAAATTTAGAGGGGGGGGGAAAAAGAATCAAAAATATGGAATTATATACACCCCTGTCTCTTTCTTGTAATTAGCTTTGTATTGCCTTGTGAACCTGCGAGCATGATTTGTAAGTTTGTACGTACCATTAAGATGCTCGTTAAGATTTCGGTGAATTTTCTGTTTTAAAATTGGGCTTGTGAAATTCTTCAAAATCAATATTTTTACAAAGATGTTTTCAAATTTTTGGTCGAAATTTGAGTAATCGACCATAAAACTGTAAAATAGAAGGATTACGTTTAAGCAATCTTATAAATAATTCATGTTGATATGAAGAAAATAGTTTTACTAGTTTAGTCATTTGAAAATAAAAAATTTAAAGGGACTGTAAACGTCATTTCTGGTGGTCCTCTATGCCCAATTCACAACGATACCTATGAAACCGTTCTCTGATCAATGATATGGAAAATATTGTCATTTTTCTTGGTGTTAAAGAATTTTTAATTCTGATGATTTCTTTATGTTTACTGCAGTTGATATTGATGTCTATAGTTCTAGCGTTTAAAACGAAATTTTCTTTGAACGAAATTCGCAAAAATGACGACACTCTTCAAATGTATACGCAAGCGCCGCGATATAATTGGATGCCGCAATAGTTTTCCAGAGAATCATGATTGATTGATAACAAATGATTTCACGTGTTTAAATATGTATCTGGTCGATTTAGTTGAGTTTAGTAGTTAGCACTAATTTAAGATTCATGATTGATGAATGGCATTTCAACTAAAACTTTTCCTGCTTTAGCTTTTAACTTTTTCTTTTTTATATCTTTTCACCCTCAATAATTTTATAGAGGGTCTAAAAGAAAAAAAGAAAAGAAAATTTTCTTATTTTTATTTTCTTCGCATTAACTTTTTCTTATCAGACCCTCCTCTCTCCTTGGATATCCCAGTAATACAATAATACAAGATTACACACATCAAAGAAAATATATTGAAAAACATTTGCTGTCTTTGGTTGCAGAACTGTACAGTAGGTTTTAACCAAACTAGTTCTTGTGTAGTTCAATGGGTTGGAACATATTTTTAGTTACTGTGCAGTACAGAGTGGGTTGGAACCAAACTAGTTACTGTGTAGTTCAGTGGGTTGAAACCTAACTAGTTCATGTGTAGTTCAGTGGGTTGAAACCTAACTAGTTACTGTGTAGTTCAGTGGGTTGAAACCTACTAGTTAATGTGTAGTTCAGTGGGTTGAAACATAACTAGTTACTGTGTAGTTCAATGGGTTGAAACCTAACTAGTTAATGTGTAGTTCAGTGGGTTGAAACATAACTAGTTCCTGTGCAGTTCAGTGGATTGGAACCTAACTAGTTACTGTGCAGATCAGTGGGTTGATACCCAACTATTAACTGTGCAGTACAGTGAGTTGGAACCAAACTAGTTCCTGTGCAGTACAGTGGGTTGGAACCTAACTAGTTACTGTGCAGATCAGTGGGTTGAAACCCAACTAGTTACTGTGCAGTACAGTGAGTTGGAACCAAACTAGTTCCTGTGCAGTACAGTGGGTTGGAACCTAACTAGTTCCTGTGCAGTACAGTGGGTTGGAACCTAACTATAGTTCCTGTGCATTGCAGTGAGCGGGAACCTAACTATAGTTCCTGTGCAGTACAGTGGGTTGGAACCTAACTAGTTACTGTGTAGTTCAGTTGGTTGGAACCTAACTAGTTCCTGTGCAGTTGCAGTGAGCTGGAACCTATCTATAGTTCCTGTGCAGTACAGTGGGTTGGAACCTAACTATAGTTCCTGTGCAGTACAGTGGGTTGGAACCTATTTTTAGTTCCTGTGCAGTACAGTGAGCTGAAACCAAACTAGTTACTGTAAAGTACAGTGGGTTAGAGCCTAACTAATACCTGTGGAGTATAGTGAGTTGGAATTTAACAAGCTCCTGTGCAGTACACTATACAATGGGTTAAAAGCTTTAAATCAACTTTAACAATATTGTTGTTACTATTAAAGACATACAAATAATTAAACAATTTTACTGTAGAAGCTGATGTTTTATACCTTGAGGGTAAATAAGTATCTAAAATTGTTCCTATGTTTGATTCTTGATTAAAATTGATATGCATTATGCAGTGCACAGGGTCACTGTCATTTAAAATTTGCAAGCTCTCAAGCAAGAATCGATGAGAATTTTATCAATTACTTCTTTCAAACCAAAGCTAACAGCAAGGGCTTTACAGTGCTAAAATGTACATGTAAAGGGCTACAGAAAAGCAAAAGTGAGTTAGAGCGGTGAAATCAAAGCCCAAGGCGTTGTGACACTTCAAAGTCGACACTGTCTTAAAAATTAATGAAATTTCTTATAATCATCCTGAATCTATGAGTATTTTGGGTGGGACTTCACATGTCCCAGGGAAGGTTAATGGATGATAAAAATTTTAAAATTATTTTCTAGAATAAAATTCGATTTACATCAAATTTTGAAAATCCAAGAAATTTGTTTTTAAAATCCGCAAAATTTTGTTGCTTTTTGTTTTGTATGCAAAGAGAAAATATTCACAGTTGAAATAGAAGATTACAACTAATTACAACAAAGTTCATCCTGTCTTTTTCAAAACATATTGATTCCTCATTCAAAGCATATATTCAAAAATAGCGGTAGATACCTCGCACACATTATTATTACAAATGTATAGCCGAACAAAAAAGTAGTAAATGCCAAATAAAAGATTGTTCCATTTAAATGTTTAAAGAAGGTTTCAAAGAAATATTGGACTTTTACCCAGGACCTTTTATTTACCGTGCTGTATACAATTAGACAGTGAATTAAACTGTTCTTTGGGGAGTTTAAATAATATATTTCCAATTAGTTTATTTCCTTTAGCAATTAAGGTTTTTTAGCACTTCCTTTCTAATAAAACCAAAAATATTTTGCATCGTTTATCTTGAACGTTTGATCTCGATATTCAATGTGGGGATCATAAAATAAAGAAATGATACTTCAACTAATATTTTATCTTCCTGATATGATATTAAAATATCCGTAGGCCTGGATAAGATGTTAGGTCAATGCTTGATCTAAAGATTCACACAATTTCATTATTCAGAAAATATTTATATTTTATCTTTTCAACTTATCTAGATGCCACTTTTTAAAAAACATTTTTATTTGATTAAAAAGATAAAATAGAGAAAGTGTTTAAATAATGCCGAGATCAATGAACTTTTTTAATTTTCTGAAATAAAGTTTTGGACATCAATAAAGTTTGCAGGACTAGAGCAGGATTATAGAGATTTAGAGATTCTTTAGTTGCTAG